GGGAGCTCCTCTGACGACGCAGTGACGCAGGCTGACGGGCCTGGGCTGGGGCGGAGGTTTCAGGGTGCCGGGCTGGCCCACCGCCCTCTGGCAGTGCCTTCCTCAGGGCAGGGCTGGAAGTGCTTCGCGTTCCTGCTCCTTCCCTCGCTCATCTCCAGCGTTTCTCACCTGAGAACAGCTGCTCCTGCGACGCTGTCTGCTGTCCACGGGCCCCTCCGCGGCGCCCCCAGCCAGGCCCCGCCCAGGGCCCCGGAGCTCGGCCCAGGGCCCGCCCACCACCCCTGCCCACCTGGTGGATCTCCTGCCATCCGTTCTCGTCGGTGACACCCAGCTGGGCGTGGTCGTGCAGCAGCAACTCGCAGCACAGGGCATCCCCGCCCCCCAGCGCGCTGTGGTACAAGGGCGTCAGGCCGCGACTGTCCTTGTAGTCAGGTGAGGCACCCAGGTCCAGCAGCGTCTGCGGGGAGGAGCCTCGGAGTCTGCGCACCGCCCAGCCTCCAACCACCCCACCCACCCGCCAGGGCGTGGCCCTCGCTGACCGTCAGGGCCGCCGCGTTCCGCTGGCGCGCGGCACAGTGCACGGCGGTCAGCCCGTCCCGCGTGCGGAAGTCCAGGTGGGCGCCGCCGTTCCTCAGCACCTTGAGCAGGTCCGCAGTGTTCTCCAGCTGCGCGGCGAGGCTCAGGGGACACTCTGGGGTCAAATCCTGTGGGTCAGTCCCGGCCGCTGTGCAGCCGCGCCCCTCCCCATCTGCTTCTCACCTCCTGAGTCAGGATCGTGGAAATTGGGGTCCAGGCCCTTGTCCAGCAGGCGGGCCACTTTGTCCGTGCTGTGCAGCTGGATGTAGTCCATGAACTTTTTCAGGTTCGCCTGGAACGACGGGTCATCCTGGTCAGCCCGGTGCCACCCTCTGACCACCGCCCACCTTCCACCAGCAAGTCTCAGTCCATCCGCGGGGTGGCCACTGCCCCTGCCCTGGGTCCGACCTCCCGCCCGACAACACGAGCTGGTCAGCTAGGGCTGGACTCCCATCACGGCCCATCCCAGCTGGCCCGGGGCCACCACGCGGCCAGAGCCGCGTCAAGGCCGGGTGCCCCAGGGTCAGGCCGCCCTGGCTGGGTCAGCCCCGCTTAGCCACTGCAGCGTGGACAAGCCCACCTCTCCGGGCCACCTCTTCATCTTGGAGACCGGGAAAGTGCCCCAGCGGGAATCCGTGAGATGCCCACGGCAAGCGCCCGCCGGGCCTGGGCTTCTCGTCCCTGCCCCTGCCCGCGGCCACGCCAGACTCACGCGGGTCCTCACGCACGGGATCTGACCGGGACGCCACACTCCCGGTGACCCTCAGGTCAGGGTCACCAGGCCACCACCCATGGCCACGGCGGCGCCGGGCCCTGCCCCACCCTCCTGCCCCCGCCCGGGACCCCGCCGGGCCCCCACAACAGGAGAAGCCGGACAGAGCCACAGCCCGGCCCGGCCCGGCCCATGCTGGCGCGCCGCCAGACGTTCTGATCCCACAGAGCAGCGGGGCGGGGTGGGGGCACGCCGCGGTGGGGAGCCCACCCCTGGGGGCCCCCCCAAGAGCGTCCCTACCTTTGTGTGCAGCTTTGCAAACTGCTTGTCATCGATGAGGTTCTGGGCATAAACTCGTCTCTTGTAGCGGAACTGCTCAGGGACAGCACAGAGAAGCCATGAGGAAGGGGCCGGCGGCGGCCCACTGCCCGCCGGCCGCCCACAGCGGCCACACAGGCCCCAGAGGGCGGCGCG